TTTGCATACCAAAGCTAAGGAGCTCCAAGGTCAGTCATTTAGGAATGGACACAGTAGTGGAAGTCTGGAACTCATTTTGGCCCAAACAGCTTGATTTGCATTTTCAAAGTTTAAGCAAATAGATTTTTCAGTGTGAGGGTATCCAGAGATATAGAATAAAGTCAAGTTGAATAAAATTGATATTTAAGCCTGCAAACAGGAAATCTAATTTTTTGGTTAAGAACAGTCTCAGGGAATTTATTGGCCTACACATGCTCCTCTGTAAGACTGATAAAAGAAACAAAGACAAGCATTTCTGTAGGGAATGATGCAGCAATGATTATGTGATTTCCTGTAATATCCGAATCTAGATACAGGTAATGTGGTATTAAAAGATTCAACTGACTTTTGTAATAGGTCAATAAAATATACAATTATGGTATTCACAGGCATTTCTGTGAGTGAGCTCATACTTAGCTATTTGGCTACAAACACTTGTCTGCTTAAAACAGCTTCAAATGACTTCAAGATGGCACCAGAGACCTTACTACCCTCAGGTCACATTTTATAATACAGTAATTATACCAATTGTAGCATCTTCCAACAAACTGGTCAACAGATTCTTGGGGTTCCCGACTTTATGCCAAGAATTGAGATCTGTTAATCCTGAAGTTAAAACTTGAGCTGGCCTTTTGAGGCCCTTGCAGGACCTCTTCTTTATCTTTCCAATTGTCTAGAACATAACAGGTGTACTAATTCTGTGAAAACCTCTCTTAGTAATGGGAAGCAAAATTTTCAGAGTTCTGTTCTATGGATCATCTATCCCTTATACTGTAAAAGAAAACTGCATGTTTAGTTTGCACATTTGCAACTCACTGGAAGTATAATAGGCTCTCCAGCCCATAATGAAGTGTTTGCCTTCCATTTTTCACTGAAAGCTTTTTTGTAAGAGAAGTAGAGTGCAGTGTTGTGTTTGTTTATTTGTTCTACTGACTTTGCTTCTTGCTCAATTTGTTTTTCCCTTTTCTGCTTCTGTTTCCCTTAATTTTCAACTGTTCCTGGCATTTCTGGCCTTGGTTATTTTTAGAGAGCTATTTTGAACTACAGCCTTGTTGCAACCATGCAGGTGCAAGTTTCAGTCATGAAAAGATATTTGTACCAAACAAGGGGTAATTGTAACACATGGTATTCCTTCTACTTTTGCATCAATTTGAAGAAATAAAATGGCAAAATGAATGGATCATTGGACACAAATGAGGCTTGGTAGTGTAGAAAACCACAAGCAAGTCATTTTTAACTGTATTTCTGGTATTTTCTCTCATTGAAGCTTTTTAGCTATGCTCTGAAAATCATTAAAGTGTTCTTTTCATTTAAAAGCTCAGAAAAAAGGCCCTTTTGTTTAAAGGGGAGAGCAACAGAGAAAGAGTATTCACTGCCTCAACACAGGTCTATAACCTTTAGTCATGCTTACGTTTGTGAATTTACTATTAGAAATTTATCCCAGCTTGAAGGAGTTCAAGTTTAATCAGAACAAAATTAACTCCATCTTCTGGCTTTGTCTATCTACAGATCTCTACTCACAGTCGCTGATGCTGCAGATTGGCCAAAATAGATTATTAGACCATAAAAGATAGGAGCAGAATTAGGCCATTTAGCGCATCAAGTCTGCTTCACCAATCGATGGCTGATATGTTTCCCAACCCCATTCTCCTGCCTTCTCCCGGTCACCTTAGATCCCCTTCCTAATCAAAATTCTGTCTATCTCTGACTGAAATACACTCAATGACTTGCCCTCCATAGCTTTCTGTGGCAGTGAATTCCACAGATTCACTACCCTCTAACTGAAGAAATTCCTCCTTATATCAGTTCTAAAGGGTTGCCCCTTCACTCTAAGGTGGTGCCCTTGGGCCCTTGACTCTTCTACTCGTGGAAACATCTTCTCCATATCCACCATATCCAGGCATCTCACTATTCTATAAATTTTAATCAGATCCTTCCTCATCCTTCTAAAACTCCATTGAGTACAGACCCAAAGTCCTCAACCACTCCTCTATGACATGCCCTTCATCCTCGGGATCATTCTTACAAGCTTCTTCTGGACCCCTTCCAATGCCAACACATCCTTCCTTAAATACGGGGCCCAAAACTGCTCACAATATTCCAAATGCTGCCTGACGAGAGCCTTATACAGCCTCAGCAATACATCCTGCTCTTGTATTCTAGCCCTTTTGAAATAAATGCTGGCATTGCATTTGCTTTCCCGACTTTCCTAACTTACCAACTGAACCTGTCTGTTAATCTTAAGAGAATCCTGAACTAGGACTCCCAAGATCCTTAGTGCTTCAGATTTCCAAAGCCTTCCCCCATTTAGAAAATAGACTATGTCTCACTTCTTCTGACCAAAGGGCATAACCATAGTCTTTCCCACATTGTACTCCATCTGCCATTTCTTTGCCCACTCTCCTAGCCTCTCCTGGTCCTTCTGCAGCATCCCTGCTTCCTTAACACTACCTGCCCCTCTACTTATCTTTGAGTCATCAGCAAACTTAGAATCAATACCCTCGGTTCCTTCATCCAGATCATTAACGTGCAATGTGAATACTTGTGGTCCCAACACCGACCCCTGCGGAACTCCACTAAGTCACCAGCTGCCATCCGAAAAAGACAGCTTTAACCTCACTCTCTGCCTTCTGCCAGTTAGCTAATGCTCTATCCGTGCTAGCACCTTGCCTCTAACACCATGGGCTCTCACTTTATTCAGCAGCCTCCTGTGTGGCACCTTGTCAAAGGCATTCTAGAGATCCATATAGATCCTGTCCACTAGCTCATCAATTCCTTAAAGAGTTCTAATTCATTTGTCAGGAATGACCTCCCCCTGGTGAAGCCATGCCGAACTCAGCCCAATTTGACCATGCACTTCTAAGTACTGTGCAATCTCATCCTTAATAATGGACTCTAAATTCTTGCTAATGACTGAGGTCAGGTAAACTGGCCTATAATTTCCCATCTTCTGCCTCCCTCACTTCTTAAACAGGGTTGTCACATTAGCCATTTTCCATTCCTCTGGGACGTTCCCTGACTCCAGTGATTCCTGAAAGATGACCACCAATGCCTCCACCATCTCCTCCGCTCTCTCCTTCAGAACCCTGGAGTGTAGTCCACCAGGTCCAGGTAATTTATCCGCCCTCAGACCTTTCGGTTTCCCCAGCACATTCTCCTTAGTGATGGTCACTACGCTAATCCTGCCCCTGACTCTCTCAAAGTTCTGGTATGCTGCTGGTGTCTTCCACCATGAAGACTGATGTAAAGTAACTATTCAGTTTCTCTGCCATTTCTTTGTTCCCCATTACTCCAGCCTCTTTTTCCAGCAGTCAATGTTCATTCATGCTTCGCTTTTACTTTTATATATCTAAACAACCTTGCAATTTTCTTTGATATTATTAGCTATCTTACTTTCATAGTTCATCTTTACCACTACCCCTCCCCCCACCCCAACCCACTGATTGTTCAATTGTCCTTTGCCGGTTTTTAAAGGAACTCCAATCCTCTGCCTTCCCACTGATCTTCACAACATTGCATGCTTTTTCTTTTGCTTTTATGATGTCCCTGGCTTCTCTAGTCGGCCATTGCTGCCTCATCCTCCCCTTAGTATGTTTCTTCTTCCTTGCTGAGCTTCCCAAATAACCCCCAGAAACTCCTGCCATTGCTGCTCCACTGTTTCCCTGCGAGGCTCCCCTTCCAATCAATTTTGGCCTGCTCCTTCCTCATGTCTCTGTAGTTACCTTTACTCAATTGTAAAACTGTTACATCTGATTCCAGCTTCTCCCTCTCAAACTGCAAGGTGAATTCTGTCAAATTATGGTCACTGCTACCTAGGGGTTCCTTGCCCCTAAGCTCCCTAATCATGTTTGCCTCATTACGCATCACCAAATCCAGAACTGCTTGTTCTACAGTAGGCTCTACCACAAGCTGCTCCAAAATACTATATCATAAACATTCCACAAATTCCTTTTTGAGATCCCCTACCAACTTGATTTTCCCAGTCCACCTGCATATTGAGATAACAAGTTGTAGAGCTGGATGAACACAGCAGACCAAGCAGCATCATAGGAGCAGGAAGGCTGAAGGGTCTAGGCCCGAAACGTCAGCCTTCCTGCTCCTATGATGCTGCTTGGCCTGCTGCGTTCATCCAGCTCTACACCTTGTTATCTCAGATTTTCCAGCATCTGCAGTTTCTACTATCACCTGCATATTGAAGTCCCTCATAATTATTGTAATAACGACTTTCTTACATGCCTTTCCTATCTCCTGATTTATTTTCTGTCCAACCTCCTGACTACTGCTAGTAGGCCTGTACATAATTCCCATCAGGGGTATTTTTTCCCTCTGCAGTTCCCCAACTCTACCCACAATGATTCTGTGCCTTCTAATCCTATATCTCTTCCTGCTGGCAATTTAGTTTCATTTCTTAATAACAAGACAACAGCCCCCTCTCTGCCCACCTGCCTGTCCTTTTCATAGTATAGGTATCCTTAGATATTTACGTCCCAGTTCTTATCCCCTTATAGCCATGTTTTGTGATGCCCACAACTTCCTACCCACCAATTTCAATCAGTGCTACAAGTTCATTGACTTTGTGTCTTACATTGCGCACAATAAAGTACAACACCCTCAGTCCAATGTTGGCTGCTCCCTGCTTCTTATAGTTGTCCCCTTCACTGCTGTGCCTGAAGTTAGATTCCTGACCCCTTACATACTCTCTGTCTTATTATTTGTTCTGGAAACTTTAATAACCTCTCCTGAACCCTCCCATCCACCTTAGTTTTTACATAACTTTCCATGTGACTGAATGCACCCACACCCTCTTACCGGCAAGATGGTAGCAGGGTAAGTTACTCCATTTGGAGCTCCACTCTGCTCTCCAGTTCACTTTCCTTGTCCTTTCTTTTTCTCTTCTTCTTCTGTCTTCTCTCTGCAGTAATTCTATACCCCCACCTCCTGCCCTTTTTTTAATTACTTACCGGTAAGGAGTCAGGGTGCGACCGGGGACAGTGTGGCCACAGCTGAATGCATGGGCCGTGTCCTGCACTGGATTGATCATGGTCCGGAGTGATGACAGTGGATCAAGAGTAAGCCAGTTCAGCAGCGAGAGCAGGCGGGTGAGGGGGCAGCAGCGAGAGCGGGCGGGTGAGGGGGCAGTGGGCGGTGAAAGCGGGGCCGGTGAGGGAGGCAGTGGGGGGTGAAAGCCGGGCCGGTGAGGGGGCAGTGGGTGGTGAGAGCGGGGCCGGTGTGGGGGCAGTGGGCGGTGAGCGCAGGGCCGGTGATGGGGCAGTGGGCGATGACAGCAGGGCCGGTGAGGGAGCAGTAGGTGGTGAGAGCAGGGTCAGTGAGGGGGAGCAGTGGCAATGAGAGCAGGGCTGGTGAGGGGGCAGTGGGTGGAGAGAGCGGGGCCGGTGAGGGGGCAGTGGGCGGTGAGAGCAGGGCCGGTGAGGGGGGGCAGTGGGTGGTGAGAGAGGGCCCGGTGAGGGGGCAGCAGTGGGCGGTGAGAGCAGGGCCAGTGAGGGGGCAGTGGGCGGTGAGAAACAGGCCGGTGAGGGGTCAGTAGACGGTGGGAAGAGTGGGCCTATCACCTGGCAGCGGCAGCAGTACCATTGTGAAGATGGATCTTGCGACTCTGAGTTCTGGACTTTTTTCTTGCTTACCTTTTGGCTCTGTTAAAATCTTTTAATTCAGGTTTTTGTAAACAAGTGGATGCCAGTAAATGGCGACTTTGTGAACTTTTCGCTGTACTTATGTATTCCTATACTTAGTACATGTGACAAATAAATAATTCTAAAACCCTGCTCCTCACCACCTCCCCACTCGCAAGACAACTATTTCATTAAAAGCCCCATCTCCAGCCCTGGTTATAGGATTCGCCAGGACTCTGGTCCCAGCATAATTCAGGTGCATCCCATCAGAACAGTTCCCTCCTCCCCCAGGGCTGGTGCCAATGTCCCACAAACCCATATTCATTTCTGCCATACTACCTTTGATGTTGAGGTTGGTTGGCTCGCCGAGCTGGTTTGTTGTTCCACAGACGTGTCGTTACCGTGCTTGGTAACATCCTCTGAGGATGTTACCAAGCATGGTAACGAAACGTCTGCAGAACAGCAAACCAGCTCGGCAAGCCAACCAACCTCAACACCCACAACCTGAACTACAGATCTACTCCAAAACCTTCGATGGTATCTTTGAGCCATGCTTTTACCTCTTTAATCTTGTTGACTCGGTGCCAATTAGCTCGTAGTTCAGGAAGTAATCCTGAGATTATTACTTTTTTGGTTCTGCCTTTTCAATTTAACCCCTGGTTGCTCATATTCCCTTAGCAGAAACTCTTTTCTCTTTCTACCCGTATCATTGGTACCTACAGGGACCATGACAACAGTATCTTTCCCCTTCCATTCCAAGGTCCTCTGCAGTCCAGCTGAGATATCCTGAACCTGGGCACCAGGCAAGCAATACAGCCTTTGGGACTCTCACTCCTGACCACTGAGAACAGTAACTATTCCCATGACTATGCAAGCCCCGATCAAAACTACATTTCTTTTTACTCCCTCTTCTTGAATAGGTCCCTGTATCATTATAGGCATCTATCTACTAAGATTGGACAGACAGGAAGGAAATCAGCCATCAGAATACACTAACATGGGCTGGTAGCAAAACATGACAAACTTTCCTTAATATCAGTACACTTGGACAGTGAAGGTCATCAGTTTAACTGGGACAACGTAACTATAGTAGCCCAAGCCAAACTTAGACATGCCTGAGAATTCCTAGAGACATCGTTCTCAACCCGTAATGCAATCAACAAACATATAGAATTGAACCCCATACACAAACCCATACAGAACAAAAACGGAAATGACACTACTCACCACAATGGACCAAACAGTATAAACTCCAAGCGAAGTAGAACAACATTGCTTCATTCGAGGCCTCACTGATAATGTTACCCAGCATGGTGACGAAACTTCGGAACAAGAACAAGCCAGCTCAGCGAGCAAGTCAACAACCTTCCTGCTGGTCTTTTAGTTTGTTATCTGTAAATACTTTCCCTATTTACCTTCCATCTGAAAATAAACTATAATAGATATTCAAATTAGCAGCGATTATCAACAAACGAACATATGGTTTTACTGTGATGGCACTCTTTGTTTTGTGTTAGTCCCCAAACGTGAGCTTCAATTTATCCTGTTGGAAAAAGCCCAAAAACTATGAGGCAAAAAGCAAGCAAAAAGAGCCTACACAGTGTGGAGCTGGAGGAACACAGCAGGCCAGGCACCATCAGAGGAGCAGGAAAACTGACGTTTCGAATAATGAGTGGTATAACTAAGGTGTCATTTCCCTAGGGCGGGGGATTTGAAGACAAAGGGGCACATTTTTAAGGTGATTCTTTTTAAATCTTTCTCCTCTCACCTTAAAAATATTCCCCCTTGTCTTCAAATTCCCCAACCAAGGGAAACAACGCCTGCCATTCACCTTAGTTATACCACTCATTATTTTATAAACCTCCATAAGGTCACCTCTCAACCTCCTGCTCCTACCAGTGACAGTCCCAGCCTTATAACTCAAGCCCTCCAGTTCTGTTAATTTGCACAAAGCAAGGTGCCACAGACAGCAATATGATAGTGACCAGATACACTCTATTTTAGTAATAGTTCTTGCAGGATAAATACTGGGAGACCATGACAAACTCTCTTCCTCTTCTCCAAATAGTGACATTAAATATATTATTTAATGAGGTGACTAGCAGAATACAATTTAATATCTCATCCAAAAGACATGGCATCCTGCTTTATTTTTCCATGTCAGATTGCAGAAAAAGGATCTCTGTTGACATCAATTCAAAGTTGTGGCGACCAATTCAAAAGCCCTGTGGAAATTCCCAGAATATTTTCTTTCCCTTTTAACAATCCGTCTTGAATCTGTCAATTGCTTATTTAACACATACAGAAAGCAGCAACATCTTCTTGGTCACAAAATACACATCAAAGAATTCACAATGTGATTAAAATAAAAATAGCGTGAGCTCTTTCATCAGCAGTTAAATGCATTTTACTCATGGCCACATAAACACATGGACCTATGGGACTAATTGCCATATGTAATAAGTAACTCTCCTGGTCCAACCTGAGAAACTGAGGCTGTTTATCTGCAAAACCATCAAAATTTGATGCACCTATTAATCAGAGAGCTGCTGCAGAGTCTTCTATATACAGATGGGATTCAACAAATTGGCTGGAAAAGGGTTCAATCAGGGTTAAGGGATTTTGTGTGGGGGTCCAGCGAGCCCCAGTTCGTTTTGCTGTCATGGGAATTCCAAATTCAGCTCTTATATTTCTTGTACGTTAATGTAACTGTTTGATATCATTGGAAAATGTGCTAAATATGCATGCTCATAAAGATAATCATGAGAAAAAAAAACTAGTTTCCAAACTAATACCCATTTAGTTATAGAGATAACAAGGTGTAGAGCTGGATGAACACAGCAGCCCAAGCAGCATCAGAGGAGCAGGAAAGCTGATGTTTCGGGTCTGGACCCTTCTTCAGAAATGGGGGAGGGGAAGGGGATTCTGTTTTCATTCTCGCTGAATTAAGGAGAAAGTGTATTGTTTAAATCAATAATCTAATGAAAATTTGGTTTTGTTAAGCCTTTTTTACAAATATGGGTACCAATTTATTCATAGTTTCAGAAAATTGCTACTTTACACAAAATATGAACCTGAACATCACCAAATTTAAGTAGATTTGATTTTTTTGCCCTGAAGAGCAACAATAGCTGGTAATTTTTTTTTCAAAAAAGGAGATATTCTATTACCAGAGTGGTGTTGACAGTACAGTGTGAATACTGATTGATCTGTCTGTATTTTCCTATAGTAATTTAGGTGGTATTTCGATCAATGCTATTGGTCGTGGTTTGCATGCTTACGTTGATTGATCAAAGTCTATGCTACTCAGTACACACTACTCACAGAGCCTGTTGAAATAAAATGTGTGGAAACTTTTCCAGATATGCTGGGCTGAATTTCCTGATCCTTGGAGATGGAGTTGAGGGAGATGGGCTCCAGGAAATTAGAAGACAGCCATGTCTCCAAAATGCCTTCCTACTTGTAGGGAATTTCTACTCCAATGAGATGGCAGGGAGCCATATTAGGCTGACTGTGGTGTGAGTTAGTGATTTCTCACCTTTGGAGTGACCCTGACTACAGGACTGGAGTGTGAGGCCTGCTTGCAGCTCTGTGAGAGTGGCCACTTGGCAGCAGCTGAGTGTCTTTTAGAGCCAGAGGGTCTATGTCCCAGTGACAGAATCACAGGAATCAATGGCTGCAACCCAGTCTGTCACTTGGCTTCCACATTCATCATCCCGCCTGCATCAGGTGTCTCTATTTGTGCCTGCCCTGGCTACATCCATCTCTCTCACCTGCTAAGTGCCACTCTGAAGGGCTGTGGGCCCTTTCTTTGTGCCTCCTGCAATGACGGGATTGAAACCCATCTGGGAAATGTGTCTGTTGGTCACTTTGCCTTCCATCTTCATTCAAACTCACCATGTTATGCTGCAAATATGATCATAACATCTCAACACCAAGTGTAAGTTTACTATAATATAATCGTTGCCAGGAATACTACTGTGTTTCTCATTTCACTTTAGAATTTTGCTTTTCTAATATGGTTCATATGGTTGGTCTGTTTTATGTCCAGTTTCTCTTTTTTGTTGCTGGCAGTTGCCATAACAAGATCAACAGAAAAGAGCATTCCATGCACTTAGTACTTGACAACTTTTATACTACATCATTATTAATTGCAGTGTAATGAGACATTCTCTCTGTTGCTGTATCATGTCACAGAAGATACAGTAATACTGACCAGATAGGCATGCAAACCTGCAAGGGGAGCTCATATGAATCTTTTGCCAATCAATTGAAATAGAGAGAAAACTGAGCTAGTTCCCTGACCATTCGTTTTTCCCCACGCCTTGCACCCAACTAATCTAATTTTCAGAAAGCACAACAGAAAGTAAATTTGTTCCAATTACTCTGCATTTCTCAGGATGTGCTGGGACTAGACATCATAATCACATCCATGTAAACTGGCCTTGTGCCGATGGATGATGCCTTCCAGTGACAACATGTCTTTGTGGAAAAGAAGGGTATTCTGTGAAGAGATTGCATGAACAGAAGAAGGTGATCATTTCTAAAGAAATACATGAGCTACAGAGCCGGAAGTAAAAGGGAAATCACATCAAGGAGGCGCAAAGGAAGTGGATCACATGAAAAGTCAGAGCTCTATGTGATAAAATGATTAACCGTTGGAAGTGAATGCATTGGAAACATGGAAAGCAGGAGCAGGAACAGGCCATTTGACTTCTTAAATCTTTTCCCTCCAGGAATTTATCAATTTCTTTCTTAAATATAATTCAGTGACTTGGCCTCCACAGCATTCTGTGGTAGAGAATTCCACAGGTTCACCATCCTCTGAGTGAAGAAATTTCTCCCCATCTCACTCCAAAATAGCTTACTGTGTATTCTGATGGTAAGAGTTTCTTAGAGATTTTTGAAGAGAAGAGTTAAGAAAGAGCATTGGTCCTGTAGAAAGTCAGACTGGAGAACTAATAATGGAAAATAAGGAACTGGCAAATGAATTGAACAGGTATTTTGTATCAGTCTTCATTATGGAGAAGACTGGCAACATCCCAAAACTATGATAAATCAAGAAATGGAAAGGAGGAGGAACTCAGAAAAATCACAATCGCCAGTGAAGTGGTATCAAATAAATTGTTGGAGATGCAGGCTGATACATGTTTAGGTCATGATGGGCTTCATCCTAGAGTCTGAACAGAAGGAGCCATTGAAATAGTTGATGCAAACTGAAAGAATACTGGAGAAACTCAGCAGATCTGGCAGCATCTGTGAAGAGAGAAATAGAATTAGCATTTCAGAACTTTCTTCTGCAGCTGAGTCATATTGGACTTGAAATGTTAACTTTGTTTTCCTCTCCACACATGATGCCATAGCTTCTGAGTTTCTCCAGTATTTTCTGTATTTGTTTCAGATTTCTCGCACCTGTAGTACTTTGCCTTTATTTGAGGTTGTTTATACTTTGGTTTTATTTTCCAAAACATTATTGATTTTGGGATTGTCCTATTAAATTGGAAGATAGTTAATGTAAATCCTTTATTCAAATACAGAGAGAGGCAGAAAGCAGGCAGATACAGGCCAGTTAGCTTAACATTTGTCAGAATGAAAATATTGGAGGCTGTTATCAAATAAATTACAGTGGGCCATTTGGATGAGTTTGAAGTAATCAGGTAGAGGCAACAAAGTTTCGTCAAAGGGAAGGGATAGTAGTTTCATTTCTGAAGAAGGGTCCAGACCCAAAACGTCAGCTTTCCTGCTCCTCTGATGCTGCTTGGCCTCCTGTGTTCATCCAGCTCTACACCTTGTTATCTCATCTTCGTCAAAGGGAAACCATGTTTGACCAATCTATTGATGCTCTTTGAGGAGGTAACACATGCTGTGAATAATGGGACAACAGGGGATGTACTGTGCTTAGATTCCCAGAAGGTCTTTAATAAGGTGCTACATCAAAGGTTATTGTAGGAAGTAGGGCTAATCATGTAATAAGTATCATATTGGCAAGAATGGAAGATAACAGGAAGCAGAGAACATGCATAAAATTCACCTTTTTCAGATTAGCAAGAATGTAATAAGTGATGTGCCACAGGAATTGATGGGACCTCAACTGTTTACAATTTATATAAACATAAGAATGTAAGAACTAGAAGCACGAGTAAGCAATTCAGCCTCTCAAACCTGCTCTAACATTCAATATGATCATAGCTGCTCTTATCTTAGCCTCAACTTCCATCCCCATTCTCCATTACCCTTCAACCCATTACTAATTTTAAAAATCTGTCTATCTCCTGCTTACATTTATTCAGTGACCCCAACAACCACCCCACTCTGGGTTAGTGAATTCCACAGATTCAAGCCTTTGAGAGAAGTAATTCCTCCTCACCTCTGTTTCAAAACTGCTACCCCAATCCTAAAACCGTGACTTTTTGTTCCAGACAGCCCCACAAAAGGAAACATCTCCTTTACATCTACCTCATCAATCTCCTTTAACATCTTATATATCATAATTAGATCTCTTCTCATTCTTCTAAACTTCTCAAACTCTGTTCATAAGACAAATCCATCATCTTTGGAATCAATCTAGTGACCCTATATGACTTAGATAAAGGAACAGAAGGTTTGGTTGCTAAATTTACTGATGACACACAGATAGGAAAGAAGAGGACATAAGGGAGGTACAAAAAGGTGGTGACCATACAGATATGTGGCAAATGGAGTAGAGTGTGAGAAAACATGAAAAGATCCATTTTGGCAGAAAGAAAAAAAAGTAGAGTATATTGTATATATGGTGAGAGATTACAGAGCTCTGAGATGCAGAGGGATCTTGGTGTACTCATGCATAGATCACAAAAGATTAGCATGCAGGCACAGCAAGTAATTAAGAAACCTAATAGAATGTCATTACTTATTGCAAACATTGAAGACAAAATTAGGGAGGTTATGTTTCAGTTTTGCAGGGCATTGGTGAGACCACATCTGGAGTACTGAGTACAGTGTTGATCACCTAATTTAAGGAAGGATGTAAACATGTTGGGTGAAGTTTAGAGAAGAAGGTTTGCTAGTTTAATGCCTAGAATGAGAGGGTTATCTTACCAGAAAAGGCTGGACTAGCTAGACTTGTATTTGTTGGAATTTCCAAGTGGTAAGAGGTGACTTAGCTGAAACAGAAGATCCTGGGAAGGGTGGATGTGGAGAAGATGTGGGAAAATCTAGAATTAAGGTCACTGATTAAAAATAAGGGGTTACATATTAAAGCAGAGATTAAAGCGAGAGGTTGAAAGGTTATCGCGAGTTGGAAGGATTAGAGATTTGAGGTTTGCCATCAAATTAGTCATGATCTTTTGACTGTCAGTGTAGATTACAAAGCCTGAATGGCCTGCTCATGCTCCTAATTTTCTTATATCAGCAGGTTGTCTCAGGAGGAAAGATTTGACAAACTGGTCATGTTTCCACTGGAGCTTAGAAGAGCAACTTATTTGAGGCATTTAGGATTCTGAATCATCTTGATAAGGTGATGTGAAAAGAAAATTTCCTCCTGTGGGTGAATCAAGAGATTTTTCATAATTAGGGTTGATCTTTCAGGACAGAAATGAGGAGTTTTTTTTTTGTTTCACACAGAAATTGTGCAATTTTGGAATTCTCTGCCTCAAAAGACAAAGCAAGGGGATTGTTAAAAATTTTTAAGGCACAGGTAGATAGATTCTTATTAGCCAAGGCAATCAAAGGTTATTGAGGTACATAGGATTGTGGAAAACAAAACACAAACAGAAAATTCATGACTCTATTGAATGATGGAGCAGACTTAAATGACTGAACAGCTTCATTCTACTTTAATTCATATGTTGGTAAATCTTTGCTGAATCAAATAATAGATGGAACTAAAACATTGGCAAGCATTTTTTTTTAAATAAAGACTGGGGTAATCAGAAATTTGAGGCTGAGCTGAAATGTGGAAATATCTTGAATAAATCTTATCAAACCACAATCCCAATTCTAGTCAAAATCTGGAACAGCGGAATCAATAAATAAGTAAATTGAGCAAAAAATTCTACGTTATCAAAACATTTTTTACAAAAATCTTTTATTATCTCAGAAACATCCAAACATCAAAAGATAAATACAGACAAGAGGGTCAAACAGCTAATCTTAGTTCAACCATCTCAAAAAAAAACATCTACAATCAGTTTCTAGCATACAGCTCACATTAATTATTTGAATTTTTTGCCTTCATTATCTTATAATTGAGAGAATAGAATAAGTCGTTGAACCTTCCATGTTACATCATATTCTGGATTTACATACAGCATTGTTTTTCTTTTACATTCTTTTCCCTCTTTTTGGTAATAAGCAAATAAAGTTATACTGAGCAATAAATGACTGTCTGGGATCAGTGACTAGCCTTGATCGTCCTTTCTTTCAAACTGCTCCACTTCCTAATTCAATCAACAAAACAACTTTGCGATATCTGGAGATACTCTCAGAGAAGCACAACTTCAATAGATTTTCTCTCTATTAAAAGTCAATAAAAGTCAATCGATAAAAGCAAAGTAGTTTGTGCTCTGCTGAAAAAAAATGTAAGATGAAAACTTTTAACAAAGTGTCTTAGATTCTATCTATAACTGCTGATGCTTAAAACTCTCAATGTAACAGTTAAAAATGCGGATTTACTTTGCAAGTAATAACATTAAACATCAGCAAAAGTGATATAATAGCAATATATTCAAAGGCACAGTCATTTATGGATCCTATGCTGTAATTTTCTTCAATTAATATACTCAAGTGTACCGCAGTTCATATTGTTTACTAATACTACTTTTAACAATGATAAATGTATTACCAAAATGAGGAAACTACAGCACACATGAAGAAATTTACAAAACAGAAAACATACTAACAAGGAATTCTGCTCTTCTGTTGTAAGACATGCTCTAACAAATCTCACATGAGATTCTTGCGCTAATTACTAGAGAAGACAGCTGAAGTATTTTCTCATTGTCTTCCTCACAGCTTTTATCTTGTTTGGGTTACTTTTTCTCAGTTGAGCTGCAAGGTAGGCTGATGAATCCCATCTACCCATTACTACAGGTGGGCAACCTGCATGAACATCTCTGTTGAGTGGCCCAGCATTCAGAGACAGCATAGACATCCCTGTTTTCAAAAACTGATATGATTGAAGCCCAAATCCAAATCTTCTGACTCAGAGGCAGGATTGCTATCACTCTAACACCATTTGAATATAAGTACCCAACAAGATATCTTCTTTGTATTTCAATCACATATTCAAGTCTCCATTACTTGGAGTAGCAGAGTGGGATTCAAATCCATCATTTCCTGCCTCAACAGTGAGAATGGTAACACATAACAAAGTGCTTATCCCGTAAAATATTTACAAATAATCAGCATTAGCTGTATAGGTAATCTTAGTAGATAATCTAGGGCCAAAATGCCTTAGAATCTCTTGACCTCGCTCAAAATTCTGAGAGACAGAAGCCCAATTGGACCAGGGTGGCACTGGGGGTTTCAGGAATTTCTCAGCACAAAAATATCTTTGTTCAAACCACATTTCTGCAAGTCCTGGAGGTCTTGTGACACAATGGGTGATCCCTACCCCTGAGCTAGATCTCCAAGTTTAATTCATACTCCAGGACTTGATAACCAAGGATGGTGTGTTCACAACAGGTTGACTATCAATTTGTAAATCTTTCCAACATGCCCTAATGGCAGACATTAAGAGCAATGGCGATTTCTTACCAGACATACGATGGAAAGAAAATTGGAACTTCTACCATCACTATTCACAGCTGCAGACCGCAGTCTACATTTCCAAAGTAACTCCAACTCTTTCGGTGACCAGTTTACCCACTTGAGGATCAGATTGGTACAACAAAATAGGGTTCAACAAAATAAATTCTATTAAGTTTCTCAAACATTATTTTTTCTTATCAAATCCATTCAGGTTGGCTTTGCTTAACTCATATTACTTAAAAATAAATAAGAATCTGGCTGTCATGGTACTCATGGAATCCCAATAGCATTTTAATTTGTTCACAAGTAGGCATTATACCATCAGGTAAAGTTGTTGAAAAGGCATCAAGGTAATCGAAATTATATGAAAAAAAGCCTTCTTTCTGAGGCTAAAACAGCAATTGTCTAAGCCTCTGCTGTGACCACATCTCCACTGATACGGTCTATAAAACCATAGACTCCTCACCACCTGTAGCCTACATTGCTGCTGGTACTTTGGTGCCAGGTTTGGACTCTGGTACACCCACTCTTTGTTTTCTTCTGCTGGCTACCTGCTCAAAATAGGTTGACTGGCAAAGTTCAACTGAAGCCCAATGTTTAAAATCTGCTGCACATCAAACTCAAGCTCAAAGGGTTCCTACCAAGAGTTAAAACATTTCACAATTTGCTCATACTCACTGCAGACTAATTAGTCTACAATTACCAAGTTTATACTTCTCTCTAAGTTTAATAGGCATGTTACATTGGTGACACTCCAGTGTAATTTGCTTTTTTTTTTCCTGAGGCTTAAAAAATAGCAGCTCAAGTCTCCAGTATTTCCTCTCTGACTTGCTTCAGTTTTGTAACCAGTTATGTTTTTGCCTTAATGTCTGTTGCTGAGATCAAGTCTCGCTCCAGACTGACTCCCCAGTGTATTGTAGTTCTAAGCGAGTGTGGCATTGTGAGAAATATTTTGCACTGAACAAAGACACCATCCTCTCTGTCTGTTTCTTGAGTTTGCATGGATGTGAAACATTCATCGCAATGTTTAAAGAAGAACAATGAGATCACTTGGTTTCCTGGAAAGAACTCCTGCCTCTACCAACATGACCAAAAACAGATAAATTGTTCATTAATCTCGTCGTTGTTTGTGGAATCCTGCAGACTGCCTACTGAATGCTATGTTTGCTTACAGAGCAACAGTCACAGTATTTCAAGATAATTCATTGTGACGTTTCTAAGAGCCATGATAAAGCACTATACAAATGCAAGCATTTTTTCAGCTTTCAACAGCGTTGAACAAAATGTCCAGCAATGTACATACTATCACTTCTCCCCAGACTGCGATAAGTCACCAAGGACCTGAAAGAATTTTGTGGAATATTACTTATTTATTGTAAATAATTTTAAACTATGTTTGAAATGTTATGACACTTGCTAAAGATCTAAATTGTTGCCACAAATAAATTCTTGCAAGTCTATGGGCTTTGGGCCCACGAGGCTATTTTTAATTGACACTTTGTTCCGATAGCTCCCACAATCTTGCATATGCCTGGAAAAGAAATTACAACAGATAATACACCTGTAATTTTGCATATGAAAGATTGAGCTTATCATTATAATTGGGATTCACATACTAAAATGTTATAAACATTAACTCAATTCCCTTTTCATTGAAGAATTTTATATGGGCAATATTATTATCTGTAAGAAATACAAGCAAGAATAATGGAGGATGAGATACTGCAATAGGTACTCAGTTTGAATCCAGCTCAGACAGGAAAACTGCTCATTTCTGTTAACTGTAATGGTACAACTGTAAGTGAAATGGCTTTGGGCAGTCTCAATCTAGTTTTCAATTGGCATGACTAGACCGAACAAATTTGCATTCAATTCCTCATGAATTGACAATAAGCTTGCCAGTGCCACCCAAAGTGACTGTCATGGGAATGATTGGTGTAGAGCATGGAATGTAACATAGCAATGCACTCTTTTCAGAGTCAGATACATTAAAAAATGTTTTTGTCTTGACTATTTTGAGCTCACAATGCTGTCATCCTAGCTAAAGGACTCGCTCTGATATTTACTTTTAGTAAAAGTATTAATATAGTCTTCTAGAATGTTTTCACAATGTTGCTGAAATAGAATCTAGAAGTAATTTTCCTTACTGTTGGGGCAAAGTAAAGAAGGCTTTATGTTGCATGTGGTCTTCGTAACAAACGGTCTGCAAATGACTTGAATCAATTTTACATACCGCAAAGGCTATGGACCCTGACAACATCCAGCAATGGCACAGATGTTTTTGCACAAATCGAACAGTGCCCCTAGCCAGACTAGTGTAGTACAGCTAAAACACTGGAATCCACAGGTCAGAGTCTTGGAATTCTGTGGTAACCATCTCCTGACTCATCAAAAGCTGTCAGGCACAGATCAGAAGTGTTACAGAATACTCTCCACTTGCCTGGAAAATTGCAGCTTCTAGAACAGTCAAAATGGTTGATACCATCCTGAGCAAAGCAATGTGCTTGATCAGCACCCCATTCACTAAGTTACATATTCACTTCCGCCACATTGTTCACAGTGGCAGCAGTGTGTACTGTATAGAAGATGCACTACAGTAACTCACCAAAGCTCCATCCATGACACCTTCCAAAGCCATGACCTTTACTATCTGGGAAGATAAGGAAGCAGATGCAGAGAAACGCTACCACTAGTAAATTAATTTTGCAGCTGTACAGGACTTTCTTTAGGCCACATCTAAAATACTGCATAAATTCTGGCCCGCTTGCTATAGGAAATATGTTGTTAAACTTGGGAGGGTTCAGAAAAGATTTACAAGGCTGTTGCCAGCATTGGAGGGTTTGTACAATCGGGAAAGGCTGAATAGACTGGGGCTATTTTCCCTGGAGCGTTGGAGGCTGAGGGGTGATCTTATAGAGGTTTATAAAATCATGACAGGTATGGATAGGGTGAATAGCCCAAGGTCTTTTTTTCCCAGGGTAGAGGAGTCCAAAACTAGAGGGCATAGGTTTAAGGTGAGACGGACAAAGTTTAAAGGGACCTAAGGGGCAATTTTTTCACGCAGAGGGTGGTGCATGTTTGGAATGAGCTGCCAGAGGAGGTGGTGGAGGCTGATACAATTACAACATTTAAAAGGCATCTGGATGGGTATATGAATAGGAAGGGTTTAGAGGGATATGGGCCAAATGATGAGAAATGGGACTAGATCAGTTTTGGATATCTGGTCAGCCCGGTCAAGTTGGACAAAAGGATCTGTTTCTGTGTTGTATAACTCTATGACTCGATGACTCATTCCAAGCTCATTTGACATGGAACTAAATCACCGTTCCTTCCCTGGCCCTGGTTAAAAATGGTTTACTCCCTTCCCAGCAGTTTGTAGATATTCCAGCACCAAGTGAGAAAAATAGCTTATAAAGGTGGCTCACCACTGCCTTCGCAAGATCAATTCTGGCAATTATAGATGAGAAACAAATTCTAGCATGCCAGAAATGTCCACATCCCACTAAAAAAATGAAAAAAAAGTGATACAAATGGAAATGATTTTCCACTTCACAACTTCATTTTTCTGTACTTTAATTAGTGCAAAAATACCAAACGTGCAAACTTGCAAATAGCAATTAAAGAACCACCCTTAAAAACTGAACAGCACTAAGAAAACAATCCTGTCTTTTCAACACTACAGTTACGGTGTCAGTTGAGTATTAAGGATACAACAAAGTACAGTAAAAGGAAAGAACTCACAACCTGTTTGGTGCAGCACTTCCACAGTCCATATAAAGTATATCAGTTGCTCATATCTCATAGATTCTAGCTCATTTTGAAGAAAATTATGTAGAAGCATAATGAAATAACACTGATTCATTTTGCAAAGAGATTTCGAAATGGCATGATTGAATTTTTCAGGATTATGGAGATAATTGCAACTTGATTCTGCCAAATAATTCAATAGAAGGGGCGATATTTTTAAAACATTCAATTTACAATGCAAGAAAATACTCACCCAACTTCTCTAGTCTTGTTTGAATTTGTAACTTTGAAACTTTAATAGTACAGGTTAAATAGGTAGCTATATCTGCATCATCAAAGCATGTTAAACAACTAGACTATAAAACATTTCCAGTAAAGGTTAAATGTTTTCTTCTTTGAAAGTAAACTATAGTCAGATGTTAACAGTTAGTAAACCAGTGTCCTTTTATTACATTTATTATCCAAATTATTCATATTAGGCTTGTCAGGGGTCAAAATAATGTTAGACATGTTGAATTTTCACAACTAATGTGAGCAATATATCATTGAATATTATTCCAGATATGCTTTCACATTGGAGAGCCATTGGGGTAGCATCAGTTCCTAGTACTGTAAAGAATAACATGAATGTCTGTCTTGATGGCGATCAGTGACAGCTGAATTCCAGAAAGCACAATGAGATAGATTGTGATGGAGTGGAATAGCTAGTGGCACATCCATTAGTTAGACTAATGATTGCACATTTAGCCCAGATTTATATCAGGATAGAGGGCATCCCCACTGCTTCAAAAATGCTGAAAGAAGTCACACATTGTAATTTCTACCTCCTGAGCTGACATCTCTCATTGCTTCAGGGCTGGGTATGGGTCGGGCTGTAATTCATACACATGTGTCCACTTAAATAACCGACTGCCTCCACTGATTTGGGATTCTGGAGTCATTGGGGTCTGAAACCTTGAGTGTTGAGAGCCAACCAGGTAACAGCAGACCTGCAGTCAATTAATTTCTTTTAGATAGCTCGTGTACCCCTTTGGAGAAGTAAGGTACCCCTGCAGATATGCTCCCATGATCTTTAAAGGATGGGTATCAGACATCCAAGAAGGGGTGGGCAGGACCCCTTGAAGACTATTAACTGTGGAGAAACTTGGGTGGAAATGATTCATTATTCCTTTGGATTGTCCAACTTGTGAACAAGTATCAATCTGTCAAGGAGTGTAAAGCTGGGCCGTGGGGTCTATGTGTAAGTGCAGACTAACGTGGTATGATAAATGAAGTTGGAGGCAGCTTTATGTTCTCTCCTTTCGAATCTGCTTCCAGGACATCTTTCATGGAGGTAAGGCGCCTTTGGTTGAGTAAAGATTCCCTTTGGATTCGTGATGAAGCATGTTCATGTGTAAAAGGTTCATACATTCATTGTGACTAGCAAAGTTTTAAAAAAAACTGTCCCAAAGATGTGTGGAGTTAAAATCGTGCTATGCATTTCAGTGACTGGCCATATAAACCATAACAAGATTTGTGCTGTACGACTGATTTCACAAACTATCATTTTCACAATGTTGGACGGCTCTGACAGCTTATTGAATGGAAATGTTTGTTAACATAAGTTATGAAGCACTTGAGTGAAAAGTCAATTTACATAAAGGAAGAGTTAAACCAATTTCAATGTTTGGCTGTTTTTTTTGTATCAATGATATTGTGTTCTTTTCAATAGTGACTGGTAACCTTGTTTTCTGTCAAGGTGCATCCTGATTGGTGCCTATACCTGATAACAGTTGAGTTGGCATGGTGATGTAAGGGCAAAGGTAAGTGGCAGGGTGTTATGATTTAGCACAAATGCTATAAAAGGCTATGGAGACAATTTTGCATATAGCTGAGAAAAGCCCATGGAGATGAGTAGACTGCCGTAGCAGGTATGATAACCTGTAGTGTTTGCTAAATGGCCACAGTGTGACACCACGGGATATAAGGACATAGACAAGATGGATAGATTAGCATAGCAATATGACAGGCCAGTTGGGATTGGCACACTAGCAAAGGTTGGTATGAATGGGACACAGGCAGTAAGGGATAAGAGCAGGATGGAGGTTTACTGTTTTAATCTTTATTTTTAAACGTTGAATACAGTGTCAGAGTCTCCAGGCAGGCTTTACGCACCGGTCATTTTCGGAACTGGCAAGCTCTTAGCCTCTTCCTGAATGCCCAGTCTGAATCCCAGCCCAGTAACCCCTCACTCCAATTGGACTGAAATCTAAAGTGTGGGCAGCCATTTTTCATGAATTTCTCGTGAATAGGCACCCTCGACTCAGGAATGCAAATTGGAGCCTTAGTGTTTCAATTTTTGTTGCCCACAAAATCACTGGAAGTGCAAGCTGGTAGCAATGAAGCAATGGTAACAGGGTAATTGGTAGCTTGGTGAACAATAGAACAGATATCATCTTAAACAATGAGATTAAAGGATTAAGAAACAAAATTAGGAAGTACTGAGAAGAAGGGTTTAATAGAGGGGTGAATTCAACGTCAAATCAGGTATGTAAAGAGAAATAAGGAGAGAAAAATGTAAAATAAAACGTAGCAAAGAAAAATTATATTTTCCTTTCTCTTTTTAAAACCTCCTAAATCATTTCACAACCAGAAAGAACTAGGTTCCATGATTATGATTGTTTTCTTTCTGGCCAAGAGGGTTGATAGGCAGTCCTTAGCAATTATACCATCATTAAAAAGTTGATTACACAGATAAGCCACATGCTTAACTTTCTGAGCAATTAATTTGGAAACACAGCCATTTCATGAAAATCATGTGGAGGTTAAGTGTGGGATCCTATTTCAAAAGCATAATGGCAAGCAGCAGAAATGAGCTAGAAACTTGTGGTGATTTCTTCTTTGCTACAAGCTGCTGGCTGACATGAGGGTTAATAAGTGGTACTTCATTCAGATGCTTTTTGTTTACTCAACCTGGGCTACTCTTCATTACGTATTCAACTTGTTGAACATTTCTGCAGTTCTAAGATCTCATGTTAATATTATGGCTCATATGTTAGAACAGTGCTTAATCCAACAAACACATATGTGAAAATATCAGCATTTCTTGCAGTGTCCCATTTAGATGTAGACAATAATTATTAAAATAAGAATTATATTTAAATCAATGCCTGCAAAGATAAAGTAATATCCCAAAAAATCAGTTACAAAAGCACATATTACTCTTTTTAATAGTAGAAAATAGACTGCAAGCAAAGAAGTGTAAAATGCCACAGCCATCACAGTATATGATGAATTGCTCCTAAATGACCAGAACTCGTTGTTGGCAAACTATCTGCTCAGTCTCATGTAAAGATACAAAACATATATTGTAAAGGCCTGTATCACAAGTAGACTGATGTGTTCAATCCGAAAGGACTTAAAGAGGCTCCAAAAATGAGTTTAACTGTGCATTATGTCATTTGATAATTAATTTCTAATATTACTGGAGCAGTGTGATTTCCGTATTCTTAATGTTGTATAATGTGACTTTTACAAGACTTGCTTTTGATATTCTCTTCAAAACATTTGTCATTAAAAGGTCATTCCTGTAGTTAGAGTATAATGTCAAATTCAAGAACACTCAAAATATTTCATGCAAATGATGTTATTGTACATGACGTTTTATCCTATAGCATGGTTGGCCATGTTGTAGCCTTAACATAACATTTACAATGCAGATCAATGCATGAATAGTATAAAATAAGCTGATGTTCAAGTAGTTTAAGGTCAGTTGCTTCTTACCTCCCAGAGGTGACGACTGTTCCTGAGAGCTCCAACTTGTACTTTTTCTCTGGAGATGGCAACTCCCTGGTAAGGCCCAAGCCAGGTCCCCTGTGGGATGCGTTGTGCTGCACAGATGCCATAGCCCAGGCCTGGCACAGTGCTCGTACATAAGCACACTTCCCGTGGCAACTCACGCAGGCCACATGGCACATCAGGTGGAGCTGCTGTTGCACTGCTGCTTGTACCCACAAGGCGACGGAGTGAGTGTAGTGGCCCATGCATTGGGCACTCACCATTCCGATTGTCAGCACACATGTCACAGCCTAAGGACAGAAGGACAATTTAGAGTAGTCAGTGAAGGAAAAACAACTCAGTCTGTATGACAGTGGAAAAGGCATGGGTTAGACCAGAACAGGGTCATAAATTAATCTGGCAGCAAAGGAAGGTTAGACTGAAAGGCAAGAGAGGGAAATAGGTTAAATCAAGTCATAAGTGAAAGGGCAAGTTTGGCTCAGTGGCAACAGGGCTGACATATTTCACTGAATGGCAAAGAAAGGAGAACAGATAGGAAGCAGGTTACTCTAATCACCAACAAAGATGAACTGAGAAAGAAGAGGCATCGATCACTACTGTACTAACAATTGTACTTAGATTTATGCAATGGCGTTCATGTTGAAACCTCTCAAAGTACTCCTCGCAATGAATTACTTTTTTTAATGTAGTAAATGTTGGGTAGAAAGGCAGATCATGAGCAATGGAGCTACAGTGGAACAGATGGAGGTCAGGGAGTAAGCAAGATAACGTGAGTACCAAGGGATTGAAGATGCTTCATTCAATCCTTAGTGGTAATGCAGAGGGACAGGTTAAGCTAGACAGCAAGGAGGAAGGTCAGATTACAATGACTGTTCTGAGAGAGGAGATTGAATTGACTGAGTAGTGAGGAAGATATGAGATTAGAATACGTGCCAACAATAAGGGCTGATGAAAAGTGTTGTGAGGGGAAAGACCCAGACACTCGATTAGTGAAAGGAGACGGCAGGAAACAGCAAATGTCAACTTATCCCTTACTCAGCTTATTGCAATTTACAATAAGAGTTAAAGACTCTATTTATTATACAGACTTCAGCAATTCAGACAGGGGGACAGACATTGGCATTTTTTTTTTGTTAAAGGCAAAAATAGACTGCGTACTTTTGTTTCGGTTTCTTAAAGCGATTTTCTTTTTATATTTAAAAAAAGGTCATATTGCCTTGTATTGTTCACCCAAAGAGAAGGATAAAATCAGATGGAGCGTTACGTCCCATTCACGACTTCAACTAAATATAAACATTAAGAGCATTGCAGCTTTTTTAAGAAAAAGCATTCTCAAATCCTGCCCTAGGTAATTGTTTTAATTGATCATTTACGTATATTTTAGTGTTTACAATTGGAAGCAAAAGCTTTCCTCAGTAACTGCTGTCTATCGCTATACAACAGTTTATACCGTAAGTGTAAAATTCACACTTCTGTAGTGAGATGGTTTAATTTGCATGTTTTCCTGTTTCATTGAGAGCACTTCAGCCTGCAATACTGCACGGTCCAGGTTTGCAGAATGCACACTAACTAACCTCTATGTCCGTACCTAGGAGTTGTTCAGTTAATCCATACAATAGTTTCCTGCTGCCAATCTCGCTCCAACTTATTCTGCATTTTGCATTCTACCTTATTGCAGAGCACTTTAAGTATCACACTTAAGTCTTCAGGTGGGGTGGGGAATGGAATACGGTGGCAGATATCAATGTATTATAGTATTCTAACACGATTTTAGGCGCGGTTTTGATTTGTTTGATTTTGGAAACTTGGGAATATGCTCAGCAGTAAATGCCACGATTCACCGTAATGTGACGGGAAGACATCTTAATCCATTCATTAAAGCAGCAAGAAATGTGTCATAAATGGCTTGGCTATGATAAATGGTTTACCATTATGAATTCAACAACAGTTTCGGACACAAAGAAAGTCAAATTAGCGAGAAATCATTCGGGTTACCCTATTGACCAGAATGGAAGGACACGGCAAATGAATGATTTCCTTATTTATAATAGACAGAGGTTGTTTCTCAATTTAATTAATTTCAAAAACTAGTAACTAGACAAGACTGATGACATACTTTAAATCCAACAGTTCATTTTACTTTAGCAATATAATCTATCCGACATATTTTAATTACCGTAATCCCGATTGAACGAGACTTTGGGTGGGAACGTTTAAAACGAGCTGCCTTGCAAAGACAATATTCTTCAGACAGCGAATTGTGGAGACATTGGGGTATATAACTAGTGCTCTAAATGAGATATAGACATAGGTTTAACAGTTAAAAAGTTCAGGTGACTTTTCTGATCCTGTGAAAAGGGCAGTGATGCAGGGGGATGGCGCGATGCTAAAACAGTGAGCACTGCGGTTAATCCAGTCAGTCTACTGACAACGTAGACCCTTCTGCAACAGAATTTGCCATTCAACCTTGTCTCTGAAGGTTTGCTGCTCTGACTGTAGCTGACTGCGTCTGGTGCATAGAAACTCATTCGTGTGGTGGTGTCGAGCTTTCGAAGCTGTATTATTTTTATGAATGGGAGAAGGACAAGGAGAATAGGACTGGAACCAATCGAAACTGGCGCATATTTCTTCCCTTGTTGCTCTTCAGCTTTTTCACAAAACTGAGCCTCTTTTCTGAGTCCCATGTTTTCCTTCTAACTCAAAGTTTACAGCATTAAAACCACTGGGTTAAGCTAAAGTTTTCCATTAGATTGTTGAGGGCGTTTTTTTTTATTAATGCAACTAAACGGCACACACATACGGTCCTCAGCAAACACACATACCGCATTTTAACTTGCATTGATATAAGATGTCGTAATATTTCCATACAATGCTGACAATAATTTTTGATGTTAAATAAATTATGTCCAACAGCGTCAGATATTTTAAATTATTGTGCGCGTTTAGTTACAATACGAGAGTGGGGAACACTCGGTTGTACACGCTTTTTGAACCCACTATGATTATCTTGTTCTCACACTCCTCTGTCTGAAACTACACAGAAACATTAACAAATCCCAGTTTTGAAATCGAGATTTTAATAGGGCTACCACAGCACTGTTTGTTTCAAGGCAATTCTTGCATCGCATCTCGTAACAACAATCATCCAAAAAAAAATTACAGCCATTCAGAACGGAGGAAATACAAGGACAATTGCTCTGTTTACTTGGTTTATTGTAGTCGAAAAGATTTAAAAGTTCTAATGCTTTGTACACTTGGAGATTTCACCACCCGACCATATGCTGAGGGGAAACAAAATGTTTTCATTGAATTAAAGTCCAGGATTGCAGATTCTTCCTTAAACTTGTTGTTAAACTTTTTAAGGGTCCTCCATTTTTGTCAAGCATTGCTTGGACGCTTCCTTCTAACTTTACAGTGAGACAGGAATAACTTGAACTACTCAAAAAACTGTTCTAATAAGAGACCGTATCCCTTACTTTGTAAAATATGTTTTTATTACTTCCCGTTAGTTTTCATACAAACAGGATTGTTCGGATGAAATATTCCCGCGACCAACTGTAAGTGAATAAAGTAACAGTAAGCAAAGTTCCTTTTATACTTTACGTTTAATCTCTAGCCAACATGATCTGCACCCACAGTTTAACCTCCGTCATCACACTGAAAGCGATATTTTCAAAGAACAATGTCGAACATTCTTACTTATTTGAATTTGTAAACTATTATATATCACACATGCTTTATAGTCAATCGGAGGCAAAAGTGAAATTACACAGAACAAAATACAGATAGCATTTATCTATTAGATAAATGTATTTTCAAATACTCAACATTAGAAAATCATTCGACTACTAATAATTTTGTTCTGCTGTCAATACAAGATTGCATTAACTTGGCAGATTAATATATTTGCAATGCACCCACCCACATATTCATACATGAGGCGAGTGTCTGTGCTCCAAAGCATAAATTCTAAATTGTAAGTCGTTTGATAAGTCCCTATCACAACGATCACAATGCGTTTTATAGAAAAATCTATAAATCAGGTTGGCCACATATTGTATCAATTGTGTAAATAACAACAGGATCATTAATTATTTATGTAAATGTAAAAATTATGCTGTTTAAGATTGCAATGCAACTGGAGAAAACAGTTGCCTTGTGAGTACTTCTTCACTCGGATGTGTCTTGCTGTGCTTTCCTACCAATACTTGGTGTGCTCCTGGTTACACAGAAGACTGGGACTGTACGGTGGGTAGCTGATTGGATTTTACCAGGCTGGCGGAGTTTGTGGGGGGAGGTGGGTGGGTGGGTGGGAAGACAGATAGGATTTTTAGATAAAACTACGGCTAGTCCCTAAGAGACCCAAACAATACCGAGATGATGAATAGCATCTCTGAGGCGATCGATCGGTGCCCTGATACAGTCGATTCGGCCAGCTTTCTCCAGAAAACTAGTGGCAATTAATTGTGTCTTGTCCGCTCATCGCTCATCTTTGTGTGGCAGTTATCGACGGAGATTAGTGCTGATGGACCATTTTATCACGTTAAATAAACATTCACCACCTTTCAACCAAAGGAAATATGGATAATAAAGCTATAGTTAGAGAAGGTAGTCATTCTTGAAATGACCGCTTAGTTTATGAAGAATATGTGCTAATTTGACACCTTTGATCATTCGGGTTACTTTATTTGCAGATGTTGAAAGAATTCAGGAGAGGGAAGTTGGATGACGGTTATCAGTTAATTCTGTAACTCCAGGATCCATCTCAGTCTTACAGTAAAATCTTTCACTGGTTTCTGTTTACCTCAGCATCTATAAGGACCTTGCTCATTCATCCAAGCTGTTGTATATATGAAATGAGTTATCTCAGCTTAGCTGCTGAAAAAAAAATCGATCAAACAGAAAAGTATCTATGGATTCCAGAAAACAAATGTTTGGCTCGAGTCTGTCGATGATGGAATTATACTCCTGCATCCACGTCCCTATCAACTAGTTTAAATGTTTAACTGTTTTGAAGTAAAAAGTTGCAGCGCGAACAATCAGAGCCCTTCACTGTGTGAGATTTTTTTTTAAAAATGTATTTCTGAACCTTAGGGCTGACCTAAAATCATGTTTAGTTTTACACTGTACAGGGTTTTCAAATACCTATTTAAACTATGGCTTTAATTATGATGCTCATTAATCGCAGCTAAAAACAATGTCTTCAACTCTTTGATGTCTTTTTGATTTCTTGTCCTGTGTCTCACCTCTGACTCAGGCATATTCCATGTCAAACTGTGCATTATCGCATTAATATTTGGAAGCAAGCTAAGCACTTGCTTATTTTTGGTTTGCTGGAGGTATGTTAAACTGCCATTATGTTGATTTTTTTTTGAGAATTGGTCTGTACTGTCGGTAAAACAGTTTGGGATAATTTGCCTGAAAATACTTTTTCATAGGACCGTTGGCTGACCGATGTTCTTGCTTTTTTGGTCCTCTTCGCTGGGTTGTAAGGAAACGCGTGAGCACCAGTTTGTACATACGCAAAGATAGCTTCAGGCAGTGCCAATACTAGAGAGCAACTTCTGTCACTTGGCAGTACCTCTTATTGATTCCGAGAAAGGAAATGTTTGATTCGGTTGAGTTTCACGCCAAACCAAAATAAGGCACACATCTTCAGAGTGTCAAGCACTATTGTGTTCCGTCTTTTTAAATGATGGATGTGCGCCGCATGTCTTTCCAATTTCCCTTCAAACCAGTCGCCTTCGATTTCATACTGGGCTGGCTGAGCTGGTGAAAACTTTATATGGGCATTTTGAAAACCAAATCAAAACTTTGTCCGTCAGCGGCTGGGAGACTCAGTGGTGTGGATGCAGGAAATTTGTGACCCGGCTTTTGTCCAATATTATCTAATTGTGCTGGAATATGTCAGGGCGAACTTTCTAATTGAGTGAATCAAATGTTCCACCTTACTTGACAATCTACTTGGTCTATGCTGCAATTTGAAATCTACTTCCTTTGTTAACGTTGTGGGGAGGGACATACGACAGGCGGTATATTGGAAAGTGACAGACATGATTTACTCACGGTTATTGGGGTCTGTTGTGTGGTTGATGACGGGGATGATCTCCATCCTCTGCTGCCCGTACAGGTAATAGTCCAGATCCTCTGTTGTGAAGGAGAATGATGGCGTCCTCTCCGGTCCCGAGGAGCACAGTTCCTTGCCTTGGTTGCCGTTGAGCGCCGAGGACGGATCAGAAACCAGGCGCTGTCCCAGCACCGAGATCTGCGGCACAGAAACCGGGGTCAGGCCGGAGAAAGACAGGGAACACGCTGAAGAAGAGGACGAGGAGGTGGATGAGGACGACGAGGAGGTGAGATGTCCGGAGTGCTGGCGAAGGATCTCGCTTGCCGGGCCAGCTCTATCGAGTGGCTGGAGCTGGCTGGGAATCACTGTCAGGGAGCCGACCTTCAGCTGAGTCTGAGGGAAAAGCTGCTTCCAGTGTTGCATATAGGCAGGGTCGACCTTTAGGAAAGCAGATCCACTGGGCTCGCTGGGTTTCATCATCTCAATAGACTTCCAACTTTAATAATTGCAAAAAAAAATACAATTACTAAGCATATCGTGCACAACACGGACTTTCAGAAGTTATTCTATAGCAGCACACCCTTAGACTTTGTACGCAAGACATAAAATGCAATGTTTATAACAAATATGTTGTTTAACATTCAGACGTTATCTCAGTGGAGGAACAGGTTTTAGCTGAAGCGGTGATAAACTGAAAGTTGTGTTGTATCCAGGTACTGAACTACACTGAGTTTGAATCTATGAACGGCCCGCGTCTACAGTTCAAGTGACAAGTCAAGTAAATTAAGAAATATTGTACAATTCTCTAACACAGCGCACTAAAAGCAACCGGAATCCAAAATGCCATATGACAAAGGGGCATTTTTTGAAAACAAATGTACTTTATTTTACTTCGGTCACTAAGCTACCAGACATCGCGTGAATATCAGGGTGTGACACTATCTTTTCTCGCCAGCTTTTTCTTAGAAGTACGTTATAACGTAACAACTTGGAGAAAACTTGCAGGACCCGTGGATCAACTGCCCAACTTGGAACCGACGTCCTCCTGTGCAATTATAATACACCGCCGTGGGATACCGCTTTGACATGACTTACCTACGAGATGTTATTCCAATCAGCGTCCTGACTGTAAGAACAGAAGCGTCCTGCTTTCTTTAAATCTGTTTCCTCATTTATCCTAAAAGCACGGTTATGGTGTGGGAGTCGCCGTGCGTTAGATTCGAGCCACGGGATTCTGTTCATCTATGAGGTCCCTGTAACGTTTACAGTCTGAATTGGAGCAGGACACGTGGTTTTTTACGACAGCACAGATTTGGCAGTGGACGGGGGAGGGGGAATGTAACGTTGATGAAAACTGGAGAGTAACCACACCCCATTACATACAAACGCCATCCATGTCAACCATATGTTGGCACATTTCCCTAAAGATAACACTTAAACCTAATAGCACAGAAATCACTCCTGGGAATAGCTCAATTTGCATAACTTGTGGCAAATACTTTTTTTAAAAAATCTGGGTTTAATCTATTTCAACAATGTGCATACACAATCTATTGCTTGAATTACTGTCTCATTTATTTACTGTTTTACTTCTAATTCAGAAAAAAAAATTGGGAAGAAGTCACACGGGTGACACAGAACTAGAGCAGTACATATTAAGGCTGAGTAGATGGCACGTGACGGTTTAGCTAACTCAGGCCAGAATATATCCAGGGAAGTTTGATTTTAAAGTTTACATGTTTTTTCTCTTCCAGTCTTTAGCTTCTAGTATCAGCACAGTTGCGTGTTTAGGTCTGTATTTTTCTATCCTCTTCTCCGACGAATGTTCCCCTTGCGAGTTTTCCTCGTCTTTAACTTTTCATCTCATGGACCATGTTTTGCTCTCTCTTTTGTTTTCGACTAGTCTTTTACCCAGATAACGCCGCGCAGGCAGTGTTTTGCAAAGCGCCATTTAAGTCTTTCAGCACGCGGTTTTGATGCAGGTAAAGGGAATATTCAGGTTAGTGTTTGCAGTAATTCCCCAACAATCGGAACAGATTCTGGGAAAATCGCTGGTGTGTTTGGATTATGTCTCTATCTAATGCGGTGCATATTCTCCCAACTCCAGTGGGGCAGCGCTGGAAATGTTTTGACTGGCGTCATTTTGACAGGGTCGTCCGTCATCTAGTCCATAGATTGATAACACTGAGCGAAAAGACAAACACAATCACGCGGAAAGGAATTTTGGTGCGAAATAAAGTTGACTATGAAAAATTTGCTTCACTTAAAAGAATGTATTATGCCAACGTGATTCCAAAATACTCTGAACTCTGAACTTAGAGATTATTAAAGCAACGACTAATGGTGCGTCCTATGTTATTACACTGTGCTAGACACCATGAGTATTGAGTTCTGCAGCAAAGATCGTTATTTATGTAACAGTCAAATAGCTAGTGATATATTGGCATTTCATTGTAAAGAGATCTTTTCGAGTTCATGCGATTTATTTCACATTCATTTTCTATTATAAAATAATACACCAAGGCTACAACAAGCTTGTGGGAGATAATAGAGAAAATACCATTACCGATATTGAAACAAAGTGAGGGTCGGTGACCCCTTTCCTTATCAGGGTTTA